TTGTTCTAAAAGTTGTAGTTTGTTGCATTTGAACAGCGATGCGCTCACGTACTGAAGTTGATTCAAACAATGATGCATTTACTTGCTGTTGTGTGTAATGAAGTGCATGAACCTATTGTTCCATTGACCTGTAGTCTGTTTTCCAGCTGTCCATCATGTGTTGAAATCGCACTGTATAATTGTTATCATGTTGTTTCTCCAGTTTACAGCCTGTAAATGATCCACAATCTGTCTGTCACACCTCTGTGTATTTTACTGATGTTCTGTTGTTGTGTTCACAGTGCAGAGAATGTGAAGTCACACCAAGTGGGATGGGCGTGCCATCTTGTTAGGTCAGTGCCCTGCTATCTCGGTCACCAAAGTGTATGGACTCAGTGCAAAAACGAGATAGTTTGCAGTGTGCAGGTATGTGAGTGGAGGAAGTGTATCAGCCTAGCTTGGATCCGAGTTGTTAATTGTGATTAGTTTGTCCATATAACGTTGTTTTACCACTGTAGCAGGCACAGGTAACACACAAGCAGCAGCTTCAGGGGCTGAAAAATGAAGTCAATACTGGAGTGCCAAAAACTGCAGTTCCTCTAATGGCCACTTGAGGTTGGCTCCAAGAGTGAGTCAGTCCCCATAGACCCTCATGTTCAAATCCCCACATTTACAGCAGAAATAAACATGTTTACAGCCTGGTACAAAAAACATTCATGACAACTGTGCATAGGTGAATTTTTTTTATCTCACCTGTTTACATTTTATTGAGGCTTAAAGTTAGGCATAATTAATGACAGGGCTGATTTGAGTGACAGGCTGTCTGATGATAGTGTCCTTAGCTTCTCAGTCAGATCCACCCTTTCACCCAAATATGGTCATTTCTGGCTCCTGATAACCAAGATGGCAACGACTGAAATGCCGAAGGCTTCAAAATGGGAGTCCACAAACCAGTGGGTGATGTTATGGTAGCTAAGTCCATTATTTTTGCAGTCTGTGATAACACAGTGCATGCCTCACAAGATGGCACCCTCATCCAAAAAAATGTACATGGTGTGACGTCAACTTTACATTCTCTATTAGGAAGTTAACTTTGATATGCTGCAGTATCCACGATTCACTAGCAAGGACCACGTCACAACAATATGTCGTTTAAATGTTTAATTGTAGTTGTTGAGGACTGGTGAATGGATGTGGGGGTGAAGGTGGAAGAGGGGTGTCTTCTGATAGGTTGATCTGGGAGGATGTACTGGAGATCGGTTTGAGGGAGACTTAGTGTGGGGGTTTCGTCTCAGGTGTATTTCCGCCTGAGATGATTACAGGCCCCAAGACGGTACCTAGAGTAAGACATGGGAGAGGTATGCACCAGATGAATAAGAAGAGATGAGGGGATGAAGGAATGATGGATTAAAGGAAGGGAAACAGAGGGTTGGTCTACAAATCTGAGACAAACAGAGCAGGTTGACCAGGTATAGGCAGGCTTGGCACGTAATCAGAAGTATGGTGGAGACGTGGCCCTGCTCCCAAACACACGTTAACAAATTAACTTCATTAATAACAGCTGATTTTCAGGACAACAGCACGACCTCAAGTGTGACATTGCTTCTTTTCAACAGTTCTACAAGCGTTTACAAGTTAAAAAGAATGAGTCACAACGGGTGAAGATTTGTTTGTTTATTTGATCATTTATCGCCTCTTTGACTGGACTGTCGCCAAGCAACACATTAACATTCCTGCACGCTTGCTTTGTGTGGGTCTACATGTTACCACAGACCAGCTGCTTTGTATCATGTTTTATCTGTAAGTTTCCATTTATTGTGCAACCAGTGAAAAAAGAATGTTGACAGTCACCTTTGTGTGATTCAAATGAGTTAACAGCTGAACAGAAAGTACATTATGATATCAGCTGTTGTCATATGAGCACAGATGGAGGTTTGCACTGAAGTATCCAGGTTTCTTTCCATCCCTTAATCCTCTTCTGACGACCATTTAGTATTTAACTCAAACGTTATTTGTGGAAATCTGGATGTTTGCGGTGCAAAATTTGTTACGATGACTCTTAATGCAGGATAATCAACGTTTAATGAAATTAACAGTTTAGAACACCTGTAAAGCAGAGTGAAACATTCATAGTTAAAAGTCCCTGTGCTGTTATACTCTGTATCAGCAATACACACTATATTTATCCACCTGAGACCCTGTGTCTTCACACGAGGACGTCCATTTAGGATTCACTGCACCTTATAGTTAATCTACTTAAAGGACAACTTAGGTATTTTTCATCCTGGGCTCTATTTCCCCATGTTTATGTGTGCGTATGATTCATGGGTACCACTCGTTCTAAAATTGGTTCAGTATTGAGCCGCGAAACGAGCTAAAACGGTAATGGGGGCAAATGTGTCCCGTATAAAAGTGCTTTTATTCGCCACTGACCGGTTAAGATAGCCAGTGCTATCTCTGTAAATAGCATATGGTAGCGGCCCTGGGGCAGTGGTGAGGGTGAAGGAGTGGAGTCAGCTGTCAGTCAGTGTTGGAGCAGAAAGGCGGAAGGCGTCCCCGCTTGGTATTGTAAATGAGTATGTGTGTGTGATGTGTTACGCTAGAAGAGTCAGAGGACGGAGTCTTTTACGTGCTACCCCCTGGAGTGTTAGCGGAGTTTTTGGAGTGCTCAAATAAACGGGCCTTTTTCCCAAACGCAAGAACAGGATGTCGCGCAACACCCGGTACAGCTTTCATAGGCTGCCTTTGTCGGAAGGCGAGATGCTGAAGTTGTGGCTAGTTGTGCTACAAATGGATGCTAACACTCCTGTCCAGACACTGCGCGTTGCAGACCATCGGGTCTGCAGTGCTCACTTCTCCCAAGATGACTACTGCCAGCCGAAGAAGAGAAGACATCCAATCCCGAAACACCTCTTCCTCAAGAAAACGGCTGTCCCACGAGTAGAGAGAGCTACAGACACAGTGGAGCAAAGCTCTCGTGACATCACACAGCCCAGAGGTAAGGGAGAGGCTAAGTTAGTATGCTATTTACAGAGATAACACTGGCGATCTGAACCGGTCAGTGGCGAAAAAACACACAATTCACACACACATACTCATTTACAATACCGAGCGGGGACGCCTTCCGCCTCTCTGCTCCTACACTGACTGACAGCTGACTCCACTCATTCACACTCACCACTGCCCCAGGGCCGCTACCATATGCTATCTACAGAGATAACACTGGCGATCTGAACCGGTCAGTGGCGAAAAAAGCACTTTTATACGGGACACATTTGCCCCCATTACCGTTTTAGCTCGTTTCGCGGCTCAATACTGAACCAATTTTAGAACGAGTGGTACCTATGAATCATATGCACACATACACATGGGGAAATAGAGCCCAGGTTGAAAAATACCGAAGTTGTCCTTTAACTTAGACCTGTTGTCCTTGTTCATGGACAGTTTTTTGTGCCATCTAGTGGTAGTAAGAGCACAATATACTAATCCATGTAAAAACAAGATGGCAGCCATCTCTGCCAAGTCAGTCTGTAGCAGATCCCGACACAAAATTGGACAAGGTACAAAACCTGATCACATTTTTACAATTGAAACTTGTTTATATATGATTAATTAAGTTTGCAGTTTGATATACCAACACATTTTACCAGTTTTAGCAACAATAACAAGCTAAGACACTGTTAATTAGGACATACTTGTTTGAAGATGTTGGGAATTTATCATCAGCTTGTTTGAGGACATTGGGACTTTACTGTCATTAACAATGTTTAGTTTTTATACTTATCAGGTCCTACTGATCCCAAATAGTGGGGAGAAATTAAAAATACATACCAAACAAAAGTTCAGGTCTCAGGATGTTATGATATTCATGGGTTAATCATTTCATTTCAGCAAAACAAAAGATTTATACAGAAACAACAGAATAACAAAGTGAATCTGAACTTTTGAAAACTCAGAAACCAAAATTAGTGCCACAAAAAGCAGAGACACAAGAGTGTCAGTTTTCACTGTATGTGTATAACTGGAGCTTTCATATGTATCACATGATCTTCTTCAGCAGATGGAGCTGTTCACATTTCCAATTTTCTGAGCACTGTAATGACTTCTCTTCCCTGTTGGTTTAAAAGCTCTCAGCTTGAGGAAGAACATGTGATCTGTTAGAGAGCTCCAGAACAGACTCAACTGCTGTTTCAGTTTGAGCTGAGAATGAAGAACATTCAGCCTCATTCATCAGAATCTATTTGGACCAAATGTTTCCTCAGTGCATTCAATTTATTCTTCATGTTAAAACCCAAACTCTTACTCAGAGTTCACAGTGTATCATTAATCAATATTAGACTGACAGGGTTACGGGGATGGGTTACACTGGGTGTTTTCAGACCTAGAGTTGTCTTGCTTTGGTCTGAATCAGGGACTAGTTTTGTTCCACAGTTGCATAATTGCCTAGAGTTGATTCACGTTCTCACGACAGCATTTTCAAGCAGATCAGATAAAATGCCTTGCACGAGAAAGCTGCTTTTGATTGGTCAGAATTTCCACGTGGGAAAAATCCAGGAAGTAAAGCAAACGTTGAAGAAGTGTACACTTGCAAGATAAATGTGACACTTTCTAATGTCACAATGGAGGGACAACTACGCAGGTTGATTTTAGCGCTGCTCATCGTGGACTATATTGCTGTCATTGTTCATTTTAGTCAAACCATACAGTTTGAAAACGAGGCGTGGCTCCAACTTTTTTTTCCCCGTTAAAGGGTTTTTTTTGGGGAGTTTTTCCTTATCCGCTGCGAGGGTCATAAGGACAGAGGGATGTCGTATGCTGTAAAGCCCTGTGAGGCAAATTGTGATTTGTGATATTGGGCTTTATAAATAAAATTGATTGAATTGATTGAACTAGAAAACAATGTTTTGATGCATTGGATGTACTGAATGTGCATATTAAGGCAGTACAGGAGGAGGTGCACATTAATAATCCTCCAGGACTGAAACATGCTCATGTTTAACCCAAACAATGTGTCATGTGACTGCAGTTGGTTCACATCCAGGTCAGAACACCTTCTCACCACAAAGGAACTGCACCACTGCAGTTCATTTATAACCGGACTGAGACCACCTCTTCAAGAAGGTCTTGGTTCAGTTGTTTTGGTGCACACCCCAGTGCGATTGCTGTGTTCACACCTGCCCGAAACAGACTACTTAGGGGGCGAATTAACCTGAGTTCAATTGAACCGAATCAAACAGGGCAGGTTTGAAAGCACCCTGAGAGGTTTGCCTTTGTTCTCTTGTAAAAAAAAAAAAAAAAAAAAGGAAACACACACACACACACACACACACACACACACACACACACAAAGTGAAGCAGGTTGGGTAACTTTTTCGGGGAGTTCCAGTTTTTGTTTTGTTGAAATCACTGTATCCTCTGCACAGATCAGTCAACACACATTAGTTCCTCTGCAGACATGGTGATGCACATTCACTTTGTTCACCACAGATAGTAGTGACAGTTTGCACACACTGAAATAAATTATTTATAGTATGAAGGACAGATCATGCAACTCTCACTTACACTTACAGCTCAGCTGTGGTTTGATGTCTCAGTCATTTTCTACCAAACGTCCTGATTTCCTGCAGAACTCCGAATCTGACCGAGAAAGATTTACTGACAAAAGACGAGCAAGTTATGGATCACTGATTCAGCTCAGCTCCAGAGTTTGTTGGTTTGGTTTGTCCCACTCACCTGGATTGTCCTCTGGTCAACTCATGGACCACGAACTCCTCCAAAGACTCCAGGGAACTGATGGACCACTAACCCTTTCAAAGCCTTGGGAACTGGTGGACCACTAACTTCTTCAGAGACTCTGAAACAAGTGGACTACTAACTCTTTCAGAGACTCAGGGGAACTGTTGGACCACTAACTCTTTCAGAGAGCGAGGGGACACCTCACCCCTCTCAGCGTCCCTTAGGACAGTCAGCTCCTCCTGTAACTGAGCGACAGGACGTCCCAGCTGATAACCCAGATCCACCAGCAGATCCAGCAGTGCAGCTCTGTAGTTTTTAAGTCCGTAGCGTCTCACTGGAGGCAAGGCTCTCTGAGCAGCAGCAGAGGCCTTTTCTGGTTCCTCCAGGTCCCGGTAACAGACTGCGAGGGCAGAGAGGGTGGGTACAATCAGGGTGGGGTTCTGCCAAGGTAACAACTTCTCCTCCACCTCTAACACATTCTGCAGCTGCTCCACAGCAGGCTTAAACTGTCCTGCTCGCAACAGATCGTGTGCTCGTTTCTGCTCCTGCTCAGTGAAGAACTTGGCGAAATGAGGAGAATGCCGAACGCAGCGAACACTGTAAAGTTTAGCCAGGTAGTCCTGGAGGCCAAGGCGACGCTCTGAGATTATTTCAGGGCTGAAGTTCCCGCTCAGGTGTTTTCGGGGGAGAACTACATCCTCCAGCTCCTCCTCAAACTCCTCCAGCAGTTTGTGGTGGAAGCGGGAAAAGTCGCTGTAACGGCGCTCCACAGGCACACGGTGGGAATCGAAGCTGCCAGAGCGCATCACCACAATCTCATACACCTGAAGATGAACAGGAAGCATTAAAACAAAACGTTAGAGCAAGGAGTCATTGATGTGTATCTGGAAACTGTATCACGTCCAGACATTCTTGAAAGGCTGAACAAGACTTTAAAATCACATTAATATGAGACAAAACTAACGTAAGATTAAAATAAATATTTGGTGGTTGCAACAATTGCAGAAGTTAATTACGCAAACCACATCTTGTTTCTGCTTTTAGTTTTTTTATGCAGATGAAACAAAAAAAGATGCAGTATGTTGATCAGTGAGCTTTAGAGGAACTAGTAGTAGTTCCACTGTTTCCAGTCTTAATACTAAGCTAGCTGTTTCCCTTAGTTTCAAGTCTTTATTATAAGCTAAGCTAGCTGCTTCCCTCGGTTTCCAGTTTCACCCTCTCCCCAGTCTTTAGGGTAAGCTAGCTGCAGATCCACTGAGGCTACCTGTACTAAATGTGTGATATTTTATGTGTGTGTGTGTGTGTGTGTGTGTGTGTGTGTGTTTCAGTGTCTCACCACATATTTTGACAGAACATGATGAATAATACGAGTCGATGGGATTTCAAACAGCAGCCTGACGGGTCGCTCTCTCTTCTTCACTTCCCTCAAGTTCTGCTGCAGCTCCTTAGTGGTCAAACTGGAACAACTGGGGGGTTCATCTACACACACACACACACACACACACACACACACACACACACGCACACACGCACACAATGTTTAGACTCTAGCTTACATACATTTATAAAGTTTTCTTCAATAAATAGCTTGTAGTTTTAAATGAAACTGTTACCCTATAAAGTTCAAGAGCAGTAAAGTTCTCTGTGATCTAAAAATTCCACATTTTGGTAAATCCTCTTTTTCTCTTCCTCTCTGAGAGTCAGATGCTCATACTGATACCATTCACACGTCTGGACACATGGTATAAAAACACAGATGAAGTAATTATTAAACTGAAAGTATGTATATATATTTTAATGATTGTGTAAAAAGTACAGTCTATATCAGAATAAGATGGTGAGTCAGAACCTGAAGACAGAGTCCTTATGTGTGTCTCAGTCCGGTTTTCAGTGCCCCTCTGTGGCTCTGCCATCACACCCAAACAGCTGATTCATAACATGCAGAACATCGAGAGACAGTCACCATTAATAAAACTGTCTCAAACATCCCAACAGATCTGATTAAAAGAAATGTGACTCAATGATCACACAGACAGATAAATAAACTCACCTTCTCTTCCCTCAGTTCAGCAAGAGTTTGTCCTGAGAAAACATACAGTATAAAGGGTGTGTTTGTGCTGAGAGACGTGCAGAGAGAGGAGGAAGTTCCTCAGTGGATAAATTCATACCAGCAAGAGTGAAAAACAGAAAATGTGAAGGGGAAGTGAAACTAAAGAGAAGTGTGGGGTGGACTGTGAGTGTCTGGTTAGCATTAAAACATGCACATAAAGCTACACACTGATCAAACATGTAGCTCAGTGTTTGTCTTATGGCCCCAGTGGTACCAGCCAGGTGGTATTTACCTCTATGTGAAAGAGTTCAGATCATCACCACAATTAATCTGAGAGAAAATATAATCATTTTTAATGAGTAATTAACTTGACCGATTCAGAAGTGTCACCCTGTGTCTCTCTGCAGGAACCTGACAACAAACTTCTCCCTCCCACATTACATCATGTGTTAACAGACATGTTTCCTTCAGCTGCAGTTCCTCTCTGTTCGTTGGGTGGAGACACATTCGAAGATGTTTCATCTCAGTTTATTTTCATACCCGGTGACATTTCAGTCTTTATATGTGCTGAAGATGTGCATTTGACAATAGTGAAGGTTCACTGTGATGGATTGACCAACGCAAAATGTTACAGTGACACTTAACAAATGAATGAAAACACACACTAACGTCACACAACAACAACAAAATGTAGCAAACACAGTTAAAAATTACAGTTACAAAACAATCCAAACATTTTAGAAACAAAACACATAATTTGATTTTATTTACAAATTGCATTGCGATTAAAGGTTCAATTAAAAAAATCAGGGATAGTGTGATGATTTAACAGAGAGCTTTGGCAAAAAGTTTATCTTCTTTGAGGCAGCATTCAAAAGAAGAAGAATTTTAAGGTATTTAAAGGTTTTTGATGCACATGAGGACATTACATTTTGGGATTTCTGCATCTTAACTTTAACCCGTTGTCCTCATTCATGGAAACATTTATGCGCCATCTAGTGGTAGCAAAAGCACAATGTAGTTAGTGACCTTCCAAAAAAACAGAAGAGACAGAATTCATCTCTTTGCTTCATTCTTGTAATTGAGAAACCTAAGCTTTCCACAATTTATTTCTATAGTTCAATGCAATTAAAAAAATGTTGTTAGGTGTGTACTTTATATTCTTATGTTCATATGACATAGAATTAAATGCTAAAACAAACATACAACTCCTGTCAGACAAGGGTCATGTGACATTTATTTTATGTCTGATTTTTAAAAATGTTTATGATACTGTATTGTACTAAACCAGGGGTATCAAACATGTGGCCTGGGGGTCAGAACCGGCCCACTGGATGACTTTGCACACCTGATATTGATGCACTTGTGATGGCTGAGAGCTGTCAGGTTTAAACAGTGAGTAAATCTGATCTTTGAGACAACAATGAATTCTTACTGTTTTCAGATTTAAAGATACTGAACATTGTGCAACATGTTATCAACCAGCAGCTTCGGTCTAAAAGAATCTGTCTCAGACTTCTATCTTAAAACAATATGGGTGGAAACCTGCTGCTGAGGCACTGACAAAACTTCAGACTGTAAATGGATTGTAAGGCAGGAGATGACTTCACCGTCTTCTTCAATAGCTTCCACTTTATGTGTTAGACTGACTGAATGTGGAAAAACTGAGACGTTGAATTTTCATATATTTTTCTAAGGATATTGCAGGCTGTCCATCATCTGTTTTGTAAATGGATAAATGTTTTTAGAAGGGGTTGTTACTTTTGGGGTATTAGGAAGTGGTTTTACTGGTCCAGCCCAGTGGAGATCAAACTGGGCTGTAAGTGGCCCCTGAACTAAAATGAGTCTGAGACACCTGTACTAAAATAAAAGTTTTGAGTGCAAGCTTTTTCCCAAAGAAAATCTAAGTTGGGTGAGCGCATACCCAACAGCTGGGGTCTCAGGAAGATATAAAATATAAATGGGGTCTCCTTTACCATCAAGATAATGATGATCGGACTCATTTGGCTATTTATAAAACAAAACACACAATATAATTACTCATTCTTATTTCATTTATAACGCTACAACCATTTCATTGTATATTGTATATATTTCAGATTGTGTACTTTACTACTAGGCTACATAGTAGTCAATGTGTATGTTTATCTTTGTTTATCTTTGTTGTCCATGTTTTGACCTGTGTGTATATGCTGTGTATTTACATTGGCAGAAACCTGAGTTACATTAAAGCTGATTCTGACTTTGAAACATAATTAATCATAGAAATAAAATCAATGTATTTCTATAAGATTGATTCATAAGATCTAAGCTCTGATTCACACTCCTCACCAGCAGGTGTCGGTACTGCGCCGGAAACGGTACCTGTCTGACCGCCGTTAAAACCACCAAAGAAGAAGAAGAAGAAGAAGTTTGTTTACCGCCAGTTCAAAATGGAGCCGAACCCGGAGGATCCTCCTTCACTAACGGCAGCGTTACTTTACTCCGTGCTGAGCCTGAATGTCCCTCCGTCGGTCGGTAACCAGATGTTCGAGCTGTACCGGGTCCAGACGGCCCTGCTGAGGCGGAGGAGGGTCCGGGAGAGGATGGAGCGGGACCGGCGGCGGCGGCAGTACCTCCGGAGGAGGAGGGCGTTCATTCTGTCCTCCATCACTGCGATCCTGAGCCTCATCACCACCACCACCAACAGACACGTCTGGGTCCTGAACCGGAGCCCCGGGCAGACCTTCTGGTCTTCAGCCGAATCGTTTGACGATGAGGAGTGGAAGGCGCAGTTCCGTGTGTCCCGGGACACCTTTGACTACCTGCTGGAGCGGATTGGACCGGCCATCAAACGACGCAGGACCAACTACCGGGTCCCGATCGAGCCGCGCCGCAGACTGGCCATCACGCTGTGGTGGTTCGCCCGGTCCGGGGAGTACCGCTCCATCGCCAGCATGTTCGGGGTGGGGATAGCGACCGTGTGTGTCATCGTGCGGCAGGTGATCTCAGCCATACTGGACCGGCTGTACCGGCGCGTCGTGTCGCTGCCGAGCGGACAGCGGCTGGAGGACACCATCAGGGCCTTCAAGGACCGCTGCTACCCGCAGTGTGCCGGGGCCATCGGCGGGACTCACATCCCCATCGCCCCACCGAGGGACAATCCGGACGACTACCTGAACAGGAAGGGGTGGCACTCAGTGATCCTGCAGGCTGTGGTGGACCACAACATCTGGTAAACACTGCTTACTAACAAGTACCCAAGTACTGTACTCAAGTAAACATCTGAGGTAGTTGAGTATTCATGCTACTTTGTTCTACTGCATTACATTTATCTGACAGCTCTACAGATTAAAACACTTCAAGAGTTCATAAAATCTGATGTTAAAACAGTTTGTCTAAGTCCATCTGAAACCATTAGTCCAATAATCAATCAGTGGATTGACTCAATATTAATGCAAAACTTGAAAAATATTAATAATTCCCCATTTATTTTATTGCATATTTAAAATTGTAATAATATTGTATCATGGATCTTCTAGTGATTCCCACCCCTATTACCAAGTAGCATAGGTTTTCACTTACAAGAAATCTGATTTGTTTTTTGATGCACATATTAAACATACAAATAAACATATTTAGAGGAAGTAAAAATAAGGCAAAGTACTGCAACACTTCACAACATAAACATAGACAGAAAAGTTATAATGAATATGATGACGCTACGGTATAATGTACTATAACATAAAAATATAAAACAATATGTACAGTATAGCTGTTTCAAAAATAAATACGCTGTACAGTTTTGTGCAGGATGTGCAAAATATCAGTCAGGGGTTGTGCAAAAGTTACGGTAGAGCAAGAAAGTCCAATATGCAGAGACAGTGGCGCAGCAGGGGGATAAGAGTCCATGTTAGTGAGGGTCACGACTCACAAGCCTTGTCAATGGGGCCCACTGCAGTCAGGAATGAGCTGTTTTTGTGGTGTGAGGTTTTGGTCCTGATGGACAGCAGCCTCCTGCCATAGGGGAGTGCAACAAAGAGTTTGTGTGCGGGGTTGGAGGCTATCTGTCCTGTCTGCCTCGAGGTCCTGGAAGTTCCTCCAGGTCCTGAGGGGACAGCTGTTTACAGCCAATCACTTGCTCAGCAAAGCATATGATACACTGCAGCCTGCCCTTGTCCTTGGCAGTGACAGTAGCGTACCAGGTGGTGATAGAGGAGGTGAGGATGGACTCAGTGATGGCAGTGTAGAAGTGCACCATCACTGTCTTTGGCAGGATTTTAAATGAATTGTTTTTACTTGTGATGAAGTATTTTTACATTCTGATATTGGTAGTTTTATGTCAGTGAAAGTTTTTTTAAATTGAAGCAACCAACATGACTTGAACATGTACTTTTTGTCCCTCACAGTTTCACTGACGTGTACGCTGGCTGGCCTGGAAGTACGAGCAGCTCCACTGTGCTCTCCAGCTCAGACCTGTACCTGAAAGCAGAGGACCGCCCTGATGGTTACCTGTTCCCCAGACAGGTGAGTGCACAGTCCCTTTTCACCACCTCCTTGCATGTCGAACAGCATCAGTCAGAGTGCTGAGGGGGGCGGGGAAGCATCTGATCCACTCAATCAGAATATTAAAAGTGAAGTCTCCCTTTCAGAGGTCTGTCATGTCTGATGGAGTGGAGATCCCCATCCACCTGATCGGTGATGCGTCGTTCCCTCTAAAGCCGTGGCTCATGAAGGGATATTGCCAGGAACACCAGCTGTCTCCTGAGCAGCGTCGCTTCACCTACACCCTCAACTCCGCCCGCTCCGTGGTAGACACCGCATTCACACGGCTGAAAGGACGCTGGAGGTGCCTGCTGAAAAAGAGCGACATCGACGTCTCCATGATGCCCAGAGTTGTGGCCGCGTGCTGCGTTCTGCACAACATCTGTGAAATCAGAGGGGACAGTTTCCTCCCTGAGTGGAACTTTGAGATTGCTCCTTCTGGTAATTATCTAAGACAGCCTGAAACAGAACCGTATGAAGGAGACACGTACTGCACTGCTGAGGTCATCAGAGACATTGTGACTTATAACCTGTTGACGATACTGCAGTACTGAAGGTGTGACTGCAGCTCAGACAAAAGACTTGATGTCATTGATCCAACACTGGTCACTTGATTTATTTTAAAAGCACTAGATCTCCAGGGGATCTGGGGTCAGTACATAAAGCAACTTAGTCTGCATCTTACTTGGTCACCTGTCTCCACTGAGTCTGACATCAGTGACCCTGGATATTACCCGGTATCATGAAGCTGGGTGTCAACTTCAGACCTTCATCATCAGAACCATGAATCAAGCACTTACTATGATGCAGGAGAATTCTGTTACAGCAACAGAAAACAAGTGATACTCAGTGAGGTGAAACATAAACAATATTATCACCAGAGTAAAATAAGAAGATGCAGAAACATCTGCTGAGGCAGAAAGAAGCTTCAGTGACGCCTAAAGCCCTGGTTTCACACCTCAATGTCACAAACCCAACAGCACGGCTGTTTGTCATGTTCACACAGAGTGATCAGAAAACTTGGACAAAATGAAACTGTGCTGAAAATTTGTCAGTTACTGATCAGCATTATGCACATTTTGGGTCATTTTAGAATTCATAAGCTAGGATGGATTTTTTTTTAAAAACTTATGTTAAGCTACTTTTATTGGGAAAAGCGCATTTGCCCCTGTTATATTTACATTACATTGTATGTTTTCTTATTGTGCAAATGAACCTTTCTCAAAGCGTTTTCATATTTCTTGTTGCAGGCTACATTTTTATCAAAATTATGCTTTCAAAAAGTGGTGGGGACAGGGTGTCTGCAGGTCCTTTAAATGTCTCAAAATTTCTGAAATTCAATTTTATAAATATAAGGCCTTTAAAGTCATTAAATATTCTTAAATTGTAATTTAATGCAATGTAATTGCCACAAACATTTATCTTATTTAATTAATCCATTTTAATTTCTTTTGGTTAAATGAGTCGAGCTTTTCTGTGTTTAAGTCCACATTTATGTCACAAATCTTTGTAAACCTACTACTGAACCTCATACTGGCTTTTTACTTTGTACTTGCACTTATCTGTTGGAAAAAATGTATTAACCTAACTCACTCTAATAATCACATTGCTACATAAAATCTACCTCTGCACAGGACTCATTTATTTTTCACTTATTTTATTCATTTAACAGTGACAGTGCACAGCTACTTAGCTGCACCAGAGTTAGCTAAAAGATCATTTTCATCTGTAGTCCCTGGGCAGGAAATAATGGAGAATAATTTCTCTGCTTAAAGGCACTATTATATAAAAAAACACAATTACAAAATACAACATTTTCATGACACAATGGCTTCAGCAGTAAGACAGCACAATAACAACTCATAACAACAATAACACGACAATACTAAGATACCACAACAACAACAACAACGATAAACTACAACATTAGGATATAAAAAGATTTCATAGTGTTAGTGTTTTGAGTTTATGTGTAATGGGTACATAATTGGATTGATTTTAGCCATGATTTCATCTTGAATTTAAATTCAATTGAATTTGAATCTTATCTCACTTCAAAGCTGTCAAAGGTCAGTAGATTGTGCCTTTGATTGATGTTACAGTGATGAAATTAAGTGTCTGATACCTGTTGACATATCCCCAGCGTCCCCTGTGTAAATGAGACCCATGATTGTGAATGCAGGAATTTTACTCATAATCAAGTATTCTTTATATTTAGAGCTACTGTTGCAGAAGCTAAAGATTGTAATTATTTCTTCCACCACTGTCTTTTAATGTAGTTGTACCCAAATAACGAGCGTTTCAGTCAGGTGTACTATGAAAAGGACAGATTACAGCAAACTTTCGGTGTCTGTGAAGATGGATTTTTGACGTACAGTACAGGCCAAAAGTTTGGACACACCTTCTCATTCAATGCGTTTTCTTTATTTTCATGACTATTTACATTGTAGATTCTCACTGAAGGCATCAAAACTATGAATGAACACATGTGGAGTTATGTACTTAACAAAAAAAGGTGAAATAACTGAAAACATGTTTTATATTCTAGTTTCTTCAAAATAGCCACCCTTTGCTCTGATTACTGCTTTGCACACTCTTGGCATTCTCTCCATGAGCTTCAAGAGGTAGTCACCTGAAATGGTTTTCCAACAGTCTTGAAGGAGTTCCCAGAGGTGTTTAGCACTTGTTGGCCCCTTTGCCTTCACTCTGCGGTCCAGCTCACCCCAAACCATCTCGATTGGGTTCAGGTCCGGTGACTGTGGAGGCCAGGTCATCTGCCGCAGCACTCCATCACTCTCCTTCTTGGTCAAATAGCCCTTACACAGCCTGGAGGTGTGTTTGGGGTCATTGTCCTGTTGAAAAATAAATGATCGTCCAACTAAACGCAAACCGGATGGGATGGCATGTCGCTGCAGGATGCTGTGGTAGCCATGCTGGTTCAGTGTGCCTTCAATTTTGAATAAATCCCCAACAGTGTCACCAGCAAAACACCCCCACACCATCACACCTCCTCCTCCATGCTTCACAGTGGGAACCAGGCATGTGGAATCCATCCGTTCACCTTTTCTGCGTCTCACAAAGACACGGCGGTTGGAACCAAAGATCTCAAATTTGGACTCATCAGACCAAAGCACAGATTTCCACTGGTCTAATGTCCATTCCTTGTGTTTCTTGGCCCAAACAAATCTCTTCTGCTTGTTGCCTCTCCTTAGCAGTGGTTTCCTAGCAGCTATTTGACCATGAAGGCCTGATTGGCGCAGTCTCCTCTTAACAGTTGTTCTAGAGATGGGTCTGCTGCTAGAACTCTGTGTGGCATTCATCTGGTCTCTGATCTGAGCTGCTGTTAACTTGCGATTTCTGAGGCTGGTGACTCGGATGAACTTATCCTCAGAAGCAGAGGTGACTCTTGGTCTTCCTTTCCTGGGTCGGTCCTCATGTGTGCCAGTTTCGTTGTAGCGCTTGATGGTTTTTGCGACTCCACTTGGGGACACATTTAAAGTTTTTGCAATTTTCCGGACTGACTGACCTTCATTTCTTAAAGTAATGATGGCCACTCGTTTTTCTTTAGTTAGCTGATTGGTTCTTGCCATAATATGAATTTTAACAGTTGTCCAATAGGGCTGTCGGCTGTGTATTAACCTGACTTCTGCACAACACAACTGATGGTCCCAACCCCATTGATAAAGCAAGAAATTCCACTAATTAACCCTGATAAGGCACACCTGTGAAGTGGAAACCATTTCAGGTGACTACCTCTTGAAGCTCATGGAGAGAATGCCAAGAGTGTGCAAAGCAGTAATCAGAGCAAAGGGTGGCTATTTTGAAGAAACTAGAATATAAAACATGTTTTCAGTTATTTTACCTTTTTTTCTTAAGTACATAACTCCACATGTGTTCATTCATAGTTTTGGCCTGTACTGTATATCAGTTTAATTTAAGGAGCCAAAGACTGAATTTAAAACTAAAACTGTTTATAAAGTTGTTATAAAGACGTTTAAATGGTCGTAGGTTTTGTTTTTTAAAAAACACTTTTCAAAGATGTTTTATCTGTTTTTCAGACGGACGTCGTGACAACTGCCGTGAACTGCTCTCTGACTCAACTAAAAACAAAAACAACCGGAAGTAGTAGTATTTTGATTGACAGGTCGACCCACCCATTCATGCTCAGCTACGCACGTTTAGTGGGCTGTTGCTCAGAAACGCTCGTTCTTCTATTCTCTACGTAAAGCTACGCACTAAAGTGACGTCTCACGCTGTGGCTCGTGGCCCTCCTACGCCCGCAGCGGCCGCGCGCCGTAGTACCTGTCAGTCAAAGGACATTTAAATGGCTTCACTGTACAGCGCCGTTTACCTCACTGCACGGTAATAACGCTGTTACGGTGTTATTCAGGCAAACAGCTGCGCGGACACCGTCTGTGTTTACCGTCGGAGGTTCTCTCCTTAATCTAAACACAAATTTTAACCTTTAAATTTGTTCAGAAAGCCAAAAACAATGAGCGACGAGGACGACTTTTTGCAGAAAGCCCGAGCCGGGTTTGAAGATCTGTGTCGGGCTTTAAATATGGACGAAGAGGCGAGCACCGAGGCGTGGAAAACCTACGAAAACATCAGCAGAAACTTTACATTAGAGGTAAAAACTATAATTAATCTGTTATGCTGATTAATAACGTGTCGTTGTTGTTTCTGCCGCTGCTTCCCGGTGTCCATATTTAACGCTACTGTAACGTTACTGCTAGCTAACGTTGGGTTAATCTAACAATGCTAACGGTTCTTTCAGTCCACTTTATGTCGTTTTACTTTGACAACATAATACAGACGTCAATGTTAAATAACAGTCATGGGTTTGAATGACTTGTGTAAACACCAAACCGCCATTTATGGCTGTAAATATGACACTAAGCCTTCTACAAACACGTTACTGACATGTTAAACCAACATACTGTAAACATGATATAAAGATATGCAGTGCTGCGAGCTGCTGGGATGTAAAACTGTAAATGTGATGACATGACACGGTAATAATAGCACTGTATGGTGACATTACATGACGATAATAACACCGTGAGGTGCAGGAAGCCACTAGAGGGGAGGATTTCCAACATGACTCAGTGTAACTGAATACACCACACTGACTGATGATTAATGACACTACCTGCTTATTTAATACGTGTATTTATAGAGCACTTCAGCCTGTGATCCCTCTGCACACTGCTGCAAAGCAACTACTGTAACTACTGTGTACTTAAGTGCAGCTTTAAGGTACTTCTGTGTCTACTGATTGGTATTTTATACTTTTACTCCAATACATTTCTGAGGGAAATATATGGGGATAGATTTGTCTCAGAAAACTAATTTGCAAAATAAAATGGACCTGCAAATACACAAACAAATTCCAGAAATTAAAACCATTCATTCAAGCAAATATTTGTGAATGCAGTTTTTATTTGTGAATCTCAATTCTGTGCTTGCCGATTTGTATTTTAGGGGGGGGTTCTATCTATTTGCAGATCCGTTTTATATTTGCAAAATAGTTTTTTTGAGTTTACTTTGTTTTTGTATTTGTGGAAGATGTTTTAAATTTACAGATTGCACAGTAACACACAGGTTGTTTCTAGGGAAGAGGAGGCCTCAGCTCCTCCTCCCTACAAACAGTCGAGGCTATAATGAGAACGATTACATCATTTTCATTTTCTGCTGTCATTAAATTATTTATTTTATTTGTTCATTCTTTACCACAGTAAAAGTGCTGATACTACATTGTGAAAAATACTTACTTACTTGCATTCAAAACCTTACTAAAGTAAAATTATGTAGTTATAATGAACGAGATGTAGGCCTAGTTAAAGTAGGAGTAGGAAGACACTGAGCTGCATTAATGTGTATGTTGCATTTTACTGCTTTAGATTTTTTGAAGAATGCATTTATCACATTTTTCATGAACAACATAGAGCAAACCAGCTTAGACATAATATGACAAAATGAGCAGGGAAAAATAAGAATCTAAAAATTAAAAAAAAGATTGTGGGCATTATATCCATCCCCAACCCTCAGCACCCCGACAACACAGAGGTAGCATCAAACAAATGATGCAAAAAGCAAGATTACAGTAAGACTGATTTCAAGGATATGTACAGAGACTGGCTAAGCCGATTTAGGAAACCCTTGTAATGACAGTGCAGGTTCAAATGTATTTTAAGTAGGGGTCCCAAACATTATAAAAAGTGTCCACTGAGGTGTGAAGAATACAAGAGATGTGTCACTGGGAACACACTGCAGTATAAGACTGTGATATGACTTTTCCATTAAAGCAGCATCCTTGATAGAAAAGAGCGAAATATTTTTCCTAGCAGCAAAAGTCAAAAGATTTAAGAGCCTCTTGTGTTTGATATTTATAATATGACCATCTGGGAGAGAAGTAGGAGGCACTCAGGGTCAAATTCTGTTTGAACACCAAATATAACACACAGTTCATCAACAGAACTGGACTAATAGCTTTGTAGCTGCTGTAGATGTTTAAAGCTGTGCTCATTTTAACTCATTAGTTCATCATATTCCATATAACATCATCATGTGTTTGTTGCGTGACTGCCCTGTGAGAACCACAAATCTTTTTATGATGTCAGCTCTGTGACAATGCATTATCCAGCTGATCCAAGAGGGTTTTTAAAGACTTTATTTAACTTAATTTTTAACACCTTCTTTTACTTGGTTATGTGCAGGGCAGCGAGCTGCACTGGCTGGCCTGTGCTCTGTACGTGGCCTGCAGGTCATCAGTGCCGACGGTGGGGAAAGGCACTGCTGAGGGGAACTACGTGTCTCTGACCAGAATCCTACGCTGCTCAGAGATGAGGTAGGCCCGTAATGCACCTGTGCACTCACCTGAACGTCTGTCCTGTGTGTGTTTTGTGTCCTGTGTGTGTTTTCTTACATTTTACATCCATTAATTCAGAAAATAATGGATGAATCTGCAATAAAAGCAGTTTTTGTTGCAGCTGTACTATATTCATATTTCAACATCTGACCTTGAGTTTAGTCTTAAAATAAAATCATTTCAAACTGAAAAGTGATTGTTATGTTTGCTGATTTATTTGTCCTCTGGAATATAAAACAAAATTGTGGTTCTTAAAGACGTGAACTGTGTTCCAGCTGGATAAAGTCTGTTTCTTTGCTTGAGTCAAGCACCTGTAATCAATGAATCAGTGTGTACAGGTCTTTGAGTTACAGTTTGAATGTTTATCCTGATGGTATAAATGTTGGGAAGAGAAGTGGATCATTAGTCAGATATATAAACATCAGTCACTGTTCAGTCATTGTCTCTGCGTTTGCTGTAACCCTCCTCTGTTCTCTTTTCTTGCAGCCTGATAGAGTTTTTCAGTAAGATGAAGAAGTGGCAGGACATGGCCAACCTGCCGCAGGATTTCCGTCAGAGCACCAACAAGCTGGAGAGAAACTTCACCGTGTCGGCGGTCATCTTTAAGAAGTACGTTCCCATCTTCAAAGCCATCTTCAAGGCGCCGTCAGACGAGCCGCCCCGAGTTCACCGCAGCCGCAAACAGAGGTGGGACACAGTGACCTTTGACCTCAGCAGAATATATGGTATATCACCACAAAATGTGTGACATAAGTGATGCAGTAACTAATTTATTGTAAAGCTGATGTATTTTAGGGTCCGTGAATGATTTTATTCCCTTCATGTGTTTCCTCTGCAGACGCCATCCCTGCACTGTGACTGAGGTCTTCAACTTCTGCTGGGTTTTATTTGTTCATGCTAAAGGTAAAGATTAATTTATTCCTTACTCCATTCAGAGTAGAGTTGCTGCATCAACAGAGGCCCATGGTGCGAGAGAATTTTAATGTAAAGACTGAGAAACCTGACATTAAAGGACATATTCAGTCCATCTTTTAAAAAAACATGTCACCTCTGATAAATGCACTGCACTCTATGTGAGTAAATGAAGCATGTTTGGTTTTTGAGTTCACCAGAAATTTTGAGAATTATTTATGCTCACATAGCGTGTGCTGTGCTAGTTTAGTTTCTGGATTTATTTACTTTATTATCCACAGAACAAAGTGTTTGACATCTGTAAAGTTATACACATCTGGACCACATCTGAGTCACAGAGCATCTGATTACCAAAACATTAACACTTGACAATATCTGAAAAAACTCAGAAGGGGGTGTAGTTGTGTTTTTGTGTTCTGTTTTGTTATTTTTATTTATTTGTAATTCTCTGCTTTCATGATTTGCTGAGTATTTTTGCATTTGGTATTTTCTTTTATTCATTGGAGCCTTTTTGGTTCACTTTTATTGTGTTATGATTTGTACTGTTATTTTAAAATGTTGGCGGACCCCAGGAAGAATAGCTGCAGCCCTGCTGTAGCTAATGGGGATCCTAATAAACAATAAACAATAAACACACAGTACTGCCCTGTGGTGATGCCTAAAATAGTTAAAAAACAAAAACTTCTGATCTGGATAAAAAAATATTTCTGCTGCACCATTAAAAATAGATTTTACCTGTTTCTTCAGTTGTGACTGTATTTTCTGTCCAGGTAGCTGTAAAATGACATACAGCAGTTTTTTTGAAGTTCAAGCAAAGTTAGAGTGTTTTTTTAATGATTATATAAAATATTAGAAAGAAACATTAACATGTACCAAAATAATTAATAATAAGTTTTAAGTTTTGGTTCAAGTTGCACAAATTGTGCATCCCTGGCCAACTGTCTTTGTTGAGTTTAAAAAACAAAGTCACATCTTTGGAAAGAAATCTTGCTCTTGTTGCAGCATACAGATTTTTTTTAAAATCCAGATGGTTTAAGAAGTTTTTGAGGATCCAGTTAAAACCACCAGAACAACATGATGTTAAACATGTTCTGAGTTTTTATGCTGGATATTAATACATGAGAGGAACAAACTGGAACAGCTCTGAAGTGCTTAAATCCATGTTAATCTCCCCACTTGTGTGTATCTGATGTCTTGACGACAGGAGAGTCCAGTTGAAACCTGCCTGTGTAGATTTGGCAGTAATACACTGCCAGCGTAGCCTGAAGACATGATAATTCCTCATGTGGTGTCATGTTGTTGTCTCTCCCTTGTTCAGGGAACTTCCCCATGATCAGTGATGACCTGGTGAACTCGTATCACCTCTTGCTGTGTGCCCTCGACCTCGTCTTCACCAACGCTCTGCTGTGCAACGCCAGGAAGGACCTGCTCAACCCCAGCTTCAGAGGTACCTCACTCTGGACCAGCGTCAACATTCTGCGCCCTCATAACATCTGATCTTCTGAGGATCTCATCCGTGTAGCTTTAGCTCTGAAGCAGAAAGAGACATCCTCTCACTTTAAGCTTCTTCCTGCTCACTAAAACATCAAAGTAACGAAAAAGGAAAACCTTCTAAAATACTGATCTCATGTCAAGCAGCTATAATCTGTTTTGTTCAACAGCATATCAGCTTATAAAATGATGATATGTTAATGTATTTACTGCTTGTTTTGGCTGAAAACTAGAGGTTTAAAAAACGTTCATGTTCATGATTGATCAGATAGAAACATATTTTTGCCAGTCAAATATATGAACCACATCCCCTCCACACACTATGTCTCAAAGCTCAAAGTAAATGTGGTCACAGAGTTGTGAAACACATTGTAGAGTCGTAAAATTAAATCAGCCGTGGCATGTAGGAAGCCTGCTTATCAGTGCGGTACGGCACTAAATCAAAGGTGTGAAATAAATCGGTTTTGCTTTTTGTGCTGAACGAATTCCAGCAGTGTATATCAATGCTGTCCTGTCTCCCTGTTGACACCTCCTGTTTCCTCAACTCCACCTCTCTTTCCAAACATGCTGTGTATTGAAGTGGAGAACCTGTTGAGAGAGGAAACTGTGCTGACACCACGTCAAACTGTATTCAGACAGGAAACTAGCTTTTTTTCTTTTCTACATGTTGGTTTGAAAATCTTAAATTACACCAGAGAATTTAAGATGCAGTGAAACCGTGTTGGTCTCCTGATGTCCTGTGAAGGAGGACGAAGGGATTCAACAGACGAAAATACAGTTAAAGAACATGTTGAATATGAAATAATCAATGTGAATGGCAGAAAGATAAAAAAAACAAAAAGACAAAATAGAATTTAAAGTTTCTATATGCAACAATCAGAGCATTAATACAGCAGCAACTTCTGTTTGCTATGTAAAGATATAGTGGAGTATATTGAATACACTGAAGTGATTTCTCCCTGTGCGATACAACAACAAGGAAGTCTTTGTTACAGATTAAAAACATGTTTATTATCACATTTACCAATCTTGATGACTGAAATGTTTCATCAGACTCTGCTGTAACTGCACGAGTAGTTATCTACTGATCCAGTTATCAGTCTGATCATCAGGTGACTGTACCTCTGTCTCATGTCCTGCAGGTCTCCCAGAGGACTTCAGCAGTAAAGACTTCAGGCCGTCTGCAGGTCCGTACTGCTTCATAGAGCAGCTGTGTGAGCTGCATGACGGTCTGGTGCTGGAGGCCAAAGGAGTCAAAGAACACTTCTGGAAACCTTTCATCAAGAAACTCTTCCACAAGAGGGTGAGACACTGTGCTCTTCCATCATCGCTTAATATCTTTATTTAAATGTTTCTGATTTCACTGTTAATGTCCCAACAACACCTCACCTGTTATTTCACTTGATTTATCAAATTATGTTATGGTTATATTTGTTTTCCACAGAACAGTTAAATCAACTAAACATCATAATATTTAGAGTCTTCATCATAATTCTCGTTTTCTATTTTTGACAGTTAGGAAGGATACCAGGGAAACATACACACACACACACACACACACACACACACACACACACACACTGGTCTGATGGTGTGTATGGTCTCTCCCACAGATCATCAGAGGAAAAGAGGACAGTCTGACTGGCTTTCTGGATCCGATGAACTTTGGAGACAGTTTGTGAGTGCTGGCTGTCGTCACACTGCACCACTGTGGTTTAAAATCCCATCTTCATGTTCTGTCATGTGTTCATAATGTGCTCTGTATGCTGTGGCTGCTCACATGTCATCCAGCACACTGTGAATGGACACACTTTGACTATATGGAAAGTTATGTTGTCTGAAAACCCTCTTTGAATCCATGGTAACATGAGACTCTCTGTTGACATCCCCCAGAGCATTAGGGGAACTATAGGTCCAAAACTCGGGGTTACTTCTCTTGATTTTGCTCAGTGTCAGCCTTTGAAAACTCTAATCTGCTGAACTCTTCCCACAGTTTGTCTCTGACTCGGGTGTATGAGGAACATGTTCTGGCCACCGGCAGTCTGGATGAGAGGATCTTCACCGGTGAGGGGGCAAGCGAGGACATCGGCACCCCGGGGCCCTGCCTGTGTGAGGGGGTGGAGAACCAGGATAGCGCCACCTACAGGCTTCACACCAGCCTCACTGTGAGATTAATGTCAAACTCTTCTAAAGCAGCATCATTTAAACAGTGTCTTGTGTTTTTTAATCTGACCTCTGGGTTTTATTATTGTGTCTCTCCTCTTATCAGGCGTCGGCTCTGAAGGTGTCTACTCCTCTGACAGGGAGGAAGTACGTTCAGGAGAACAGCTTGGCGTCTCCGGTCTCATCCGCCATGAAGAGTGTTGGGCGACTCCACACCCTGCTGTCAGGAACCAAACAGGGGCCGAGTGCTAAGCTCACAGAAACTCTCAGGTGTGTTTCTGTCAGTTCAAACAGTTTACTCTGAACACAGTCTGTGAGTTAACAGTATAACTTAAACAGGTTGCATCATACAAGTTAGTCACAAAGATGCAGAGTTAAGATATAATTTAAAATGTACACCTCCACGAGCAGGTGTAAGTCATTCATGATTAATTGTCTCCACGCCGGCAATTCTCGTGGTCAGATCCATTATGTTTTTGGGTTGTTCAACATCCATCCGTCTGTTTGTCTGTTGTTTTCTCGTGAAAGCAATATCTTAAAAATACTGCTCCCTTGTAGAGCACAGAGTCTCAGGTGTTAAATCTTCTGCAGTGCAATGACAGAACCTTTCTTCCTGTAGGACCTGTGCCAGAGACCCCAGTGATGTCATCAAACAGCGCCTGAAGGACATGTTCGAGCTCCTCTGTCAACATTACGAGGGCAGCGGGGCCGAGAACAGGGGGATGGAGAAAGGTACACACACACACACACACACACACACACACACACAAACACAGAAAACATGAGCACATGATAGACTTATTTTCTCTAAATAAACTTCCTGTTCACAGACATGGCAGTGAAGTACTTCCACTTGGCAGAGGCGCTCTACTACAGGATCCTGGAGTCCATCATCGAGAGAGAGAAGATGATCCTGGGAGACGCCGACCTGTCGGTGAGTATCTGCTTCTGGAGAATGATGCAGTTGTGAAGCCTGGGACAGGAAGGGTTTCTGAATCTGTATATCCTAAATAATGTGCAGATCCTTAAACGACTCAGGCCACCTTTAAAAGCAGCTATAATTATCTACTGCCTTCTAATATTGAGTTTATCACTTTTATTTGTTTTTTTATCTTTTTTATTTTTACATTTTATGTCAATAGTGTACATGCTCACATTTTCTCATATTTAGTCATTTCAAATTTATATGTCTCTGCAGCTCTTTGAAACTGGCTCCTAAATGAGTGATGCGTATAAATGCATTTGCATTGACATGGACATTTAAAAGGACTCTGTTCCTATTGAACTAGCTCTTGTACATTATTCTAATATTTACTCTGGAAAGAAACAGATTTTTTTTTTTTTACAAATGGACACCTGTCAGTTAAAGCTTGTTCTTTACCTCTTAGGTTTGAATGAACAGAGAATAGAAATGTGTAATACTGAGATTATAGAGGAACAAATCCATAATTTCTCAGTTGACTGTGGTGTGTGTGTGTGTGCGTTTCAGTGTATTCTGGAGCAGGACATCTTCCATCGCTCCCTGCTGGCCTGCTGTCTGGAGATCGTTGTCTTCTCCTACAGACCTCCAGGAGATTTCCCCAACCTGATCTCCATCTTCCAGCTCCCCGCCTATCACTTCTACAAGGTATCAATAATCACTTCTGTCACACTGTATGTCAATATGTTTGTGTCTGTGTGTGTGTGCTTGTTTTTTATTTTTAGTAACAAAGCCTGCAACAGGTAACATAAATAATCACAAATAACACATATAAATGAAGACAGCTCACTGAAATTATGTGAAAATACTTTTCGGTTTAGCGCAGCATCTGAAGTGATGCAGGCGCTGTAAAACATGAAACATTCTTTGTTACATGAAAAACATGTAACATTAAAGAAAATTCGATTTGTGTGTGTCCGTGTGTGTGTGTGTGTGTGCAGGTGATTGAGGTGTTGGTGCGGTCAGAGCAGGGTCTGTTTCGGGAGGTGGTAAAGCACCTGAACCAGGTGGAGGAGCAGGTTCTGGAGAGCCTGGCCTGGACCAGCGATTCCCCGCTGTGGGAAAGCCTCCGTACATCCAAAGACCCCGTCCCCGCCTGCCAGCAGGTCCCTTAAAGTCATATTCATGTCATAATTATGTAAATATAATTATTAGACATGTAGGTTTTAGTATTCTTCAGTGTTTGTACGCGTACATTTAAATATTTTTCTGTTGTTGACGTATTTATGAAAACAGAAGCTTCAGCTGTTTGTGAGTGTTTGTTGTGTGGATGTGTTTCAGGTGATGCCTCCACAGTATCTGGAACAAAGCGACGAGAGCAGCAGCGGCAGCGTTCCCGTCACTCCAATCAACCACGGAGCTGACCTCAACGCCAACAGCACTGTCAAAGGTGTGTGTTTGAATTTATTTAACGCTGTTACTCCAGATATATTTCTTTACCCATCAGGCTGGGAAAACATGTTGTTTGTTTATAGATGTAAATAATCATTCCGCTTCCCCTTCTCCTCCTCCTCCTGCAGGCATGTCCCCCTCCCCCACCACCCTGCTGGACCGGTACAGTTCTCCTCCCACCGGCTTGCATCGTCGCCGCCTGTTTGTTGACCCGGTGGACGGCGAACCTGGAGTCACCTCCAGCACCTCCACCAGCACAGCGCCACCCACTGTGACCAAGACCGGCCAGCCCAGCCTTGTCACGACCATCCCAGCCGGGCAGACTGTGGTCACCATGGCAACCGCCACTGTTACTGCCAACAACGGGCAGACAGTCACCATACCTGTGCATGGTGAGGGAATGTTACACTGACTATGAGACATGAGTGACATGAGTGACAGACACTGACCTCTGACCTCTGCAGGTATAGCCAATGAGAGCGGAGGCATCACCTTCATCCCGGTCCAGGTGAGCGTGACCGGACAGGGTGGAGCTACGCTGCAGCCGCTGTCTGCACAGACTCTGACAGGCACCCTCACTGTCCAATCACCCGTCACCAAACCAGCTGTCAAACCAGCCAGCAGGCCGCTGAGGAAAGGCTCGCTGTCGCTGTTCTTCAGGAAGGTACATGTTGCATGTTTTGCTGTTTTATAGTCACTGTTGTGTGATTATTCTTTCAAAGGTGAAAGGTGGATACTAATGAAGTGGAGTTGTGATATTTCTTCTCTCACAGGTATACCACCTGGCCAGCGTGCGCCTCAGAGATCTTTGTGCCAAACTGGACATCTCATCAGATCTGAGGAGGAAGATCTGGACATGTTTTGAATATTCTTTGGTTCACTGTACTGAGCTGATGATGGACCGTCACCTGGACCAGCTCCTCATGTGTGCTGTTTACGTCATGGCAAAGGTCCGTCTGTCTCTGTGTGTACATATATCTGTGTACTCTGTATGTGTTTCTCTGTGTTGAAGTAAATGTACATGTGTTGGGTTTTGTCAGGTGACCAAAGAAGACAAATCCTTCCAGAACATTATGAAGTGTTACCGCACGCAGCCTCAGGCCAGCAGCAATGTAAGAACCTCTCAGTCAGCTCGACTGCTCCCTACACACGAAGAAAACATGTTTACCATCCAAACTATTTACAGTTTGATGAATCATTAGATCATTTCTTCAAATAAACGTCCTCTGACCTGGTAGAGTTGGGTAAAAGACAGGCTTTACTTCAGTAAGAGTAGTAATACCACAGTGTAGAAATATACAAATGAAGTCCTGCATTCTAAATGTTACTTTAGTGAAAGTACAAAAGTAAAAGTACTCATCATGTAGAATTTTATATATTCTATTGCTGTATTATGATTATTGATTCATTAATGTGTTCATTACTTTAATGTTGCAGCGCTTATTGTATTGACTTTATGTACTGCTGGGTAGTTTTATCTATAAGAACACATCATTGTTTATTATTTATTATATTTTGTATTATAATCTGAATCTGTAAAGTAACTAAAGCTGTCAGATACATGTAGTGCAGTCAAAAGTACAGCATTTGGAAATACTTAAGTAGAGTACAACTACTTCAGAATTGGATTTAAGGGTGTGTGTGTGTGTGTGTGTGTGTGTGTTTCAGGTGTACAGGAGTGTGTTGATCTCAGGGAGGAGGAGACGACACTCAGGCAGCAACGACACCAACAAACACAACTCACCTGCAGACACCACCCAGGATCCAGGTAAGAAAACACCTGTTTTAAAACTCTCTGCTATCTTTAATGTTAAAGTGAATGAACAGCCACATTTATAATTTAATTAGTGGACTTGAGTCGCATGTTTTGGACTTGAGTCAGAATTAAGTCACAAATTTGATGACTTTCGACTCTGCTTGACAAAATAAAAAAAGACTTGCAACTCGACTTGCACTTCAACACCAGTTACTTGTACTTCGACTTGAGCCTTTTGATTTGGAAATACTTGCTACTTTCCTCCAAACCCCAAAGATTACAAATTCACACAAAACATTAATAAATGCAGCTTAAAAGTTTATTCATCCAACATTTATGTGAGGAAGAAAGTTTATTGTTTCCTTGTTTGTTACTAACTGATGTCTCCTCTCAGCAGGTGGAGACATCAGTCCAGTTTCTATCCGCTCCAGCAGCACCATGCCCACCCCCCAGCCTGGCAGTGCCCCCTCCACCCCCACCAACACCTCCAACAAGAACTCCTCCTCCTCTTCTTCCTCCTCCTCCTTCACAGTGGGTGACGGAGAAGAGGAGCGAGGAGACCTGATCCACTTCTACAATAACGTTTACATCAAACAGATGAGACACTTCGCTCTGAGATACTCAGCCAGCTCGCCGTCTGCAGGGGTACAAACACTTCACATCTACAGACATACATGTGTAGTATACACAGGGGCATGTGGTGCTTTTTTATGTATGTTTACCTGATTATTTACTGATAGTAAAACATGTTGAGTGTCTGAAGGAGATGTTACAGGGAACAGGGTTGTCCACTGAGTCAAAGATTCATACAGATAGTTTTGGCGACCCAGTGCCTTTCTTCAGTTGTGAAGCTCCAGAGTCTCACTGCTCTGAAGTTTTTCATGCTTCATGTGATGAATTTAGGGAACACAAAGCTGTTCAAAGTTCAAAATGAAACACTGCTCTGTATGTTTGCAGGTGGAAACCCCCCCTCTGTGTCCGTACCCCACCCTGAGGACAGGCTCCCCTCGTCGCATGCTTCTGTCCAGCAAACACTCCATCTACATCTCACCTCACAAGACAGGCACCGTCCCCACACCGCCCACCCCCAGAGACAAGATTTACTACTATATCTGCAGCAGCCCCCCCAACGTGAGACCCCACACACCCTTACACACACTGTACTACACTGTATATCTTCACAGTACACATATAAATGACACGTGTGCTGTGGGGAACAGACTGATGAAGATGTTGTTGAGTGACCGAAGATCAAACTTTATCCAGAGGTTAAAACTTCTGCAGCAGCTGCACCACAAAGAAGGAAACAGCACAAATACATAGAGAGCAACAGTTATAAACAATAAAGATTATCAGTAAGGTCATGGAGCAGAGGCTAGACAAGGGAAATATGAAAAAAGGTAAGGTCATGACTTCAGTGACAACATTCAAGAAGCCAGACGAGCATCTCAAATCACACTTTAACCCATCATTATCTTGTTGTTTTAACTTCAGATTAAAAAACACATGTTGATTGACTTGATTCTGACTCTGTGACCTCTGACCCTTTGACCTCTGACCTCTCAGCGTCTGCAGGAGATCAACAGTATGATCCGCACCGGAGAGACACCGACCAGGAAGCGCAGCCTGCCTCTGGAGGATGAGACGTCCCCCAAGAGGGTCTGTCCAGATAACCACTCTGCTCTGCTCCGCCGCCTGCAGGATGTCGCCAACGACCGCAGCTCCTCCCACTGAGACCACACACATACACAGAATATATCACCATTATGACACACCAACACCATCATGCCCCACCTTCACTGTCCCGTCATACATAGTCAGACTTTGTAGGAGCACATTGGTCACTTCCTGCAGTGATAATAGACTTTGTAGTTGTACAAACTGTTCCTGTCCGTGATGTTCTGCTTTCTGAACGTCTGGCTGAGCAGCTCAAAGCTACAAACTGACGCCAAGTTGTTTTGTAACGTGGTAGCAGTGATCTGGAGGCAGCTCCTCTGGCTCTGCTGCACTACAGAGTTCCAGTAAAAGTTGTCTTGCTTTTTGAGGGAAGAGCCAGAAGTTTTCAAACTGTGAGGCTCCTCCCTGAGGCGGGGTGAGGATGGGAGACCGGTGAGGGACAGGTGCATGAAGGTGTTTTAACAACAACAGGAAGTTAGTTTGTCAGCTGATTTGACTGCTCACCAGCACAGTCAGCAGGTGGAGCTGCAGCAGAGAAAAAAAAAAGAGAACAGAACAGAACCAGCTTAAGAACCAGAGGTAATATGGTGGAGAAGGGAGTATGTCCATAAATCCACTTAGGGGCTGTTCTGTACTTATCAGAGGAGGGGGGTGGCTCGGGTGTGACTTAACTCTTTTTAACCCTCCCTAAAGCTACAAATATTTTTCCTTTGGCCTCTCTGAATGACTGTCAGAGATTGCACAACCCTCCCTCCACCATGAATTTATTAGATTTTTGAAAATTACTCTTTGAGAAATTTGAAAGTTAAAAGTGAACGACGAAAAACTGTCTTTTTCAGTCTTGTCGTGCATGCTGGTTAGTTCATGTAGGTGGTTTAATTTTGTGATTTTGATGAGTATCACTATTTTAAGCTCAAATTTATTTCGTTTTTTTTTTCTGAAAACATGCCTTTTCAGAAAAATCTGTGGTAAAATAAATACAAAATACAACCACTTAATTTTTTTTATGCCCCTCCCCTAAGCCAAAATTAAAAAACACAAGTCCCTCCCCAGTGCTTACGAAATTATTGGACATGCCTCCATCTTTTTGCACCACCCCCTCCTCTCTCATAAATAACGAACAGTCCCTTAGAAATCATAGAAAGAACAGTCTGCAGAACTGAGAATCATCATGTTTTTAAGTTTTTCTGCAGACTCAGTGATCATTGTCTGTAAATCTGTTTGTACACTGCAGACACACATACGCTGCTCACACATCACTCAGCTCACTGTGAATCGACACACTTTGACCACAGATAACAGCAGCGATCAATACGTGATCAATCATCAAACACATTTCTTCTGCACTGCATTGTGTCTGAATGGAGCCGTCAGTATTCTGTCGCTGATTTCTGAACTCTCTGAGTGTGAAACTTTTCATTCCATCCGTTTATTATCCGATACGAGATGAATGTATTTTAGGATTTTATTACTGAACATGTTTTTACTGAAGTGAAGGTGTGATGAAGTTTGTGAAGGCTCAACAGGATGATGTCGCTCTGATGCTTTACTTTGTGTTCTTAAAATGTTTTTACATGTAGTCTTATTAGTTACCATGTTTTCTATGATACTAATAACTGAATATGATTTAATCTGGAGGCTTAAAAGTTTATAAAGAGTTTCATTTCAACAGAGAGTTTATCCATCGTTAGATTTCACCCTGATGTTTGTAATCATGACCATTTAAAGGGCTCGACACTGATTCATCATGTTTAAAGTGATGTTAATGGTCCCAGCAGCAGATTTCAGTCTCAGTGAAACTATCTGTGTTTGACTCTTTGTTTACTTCCTGTTATCATGTGTTGTAACTCGACCCTCACCGACTGTCCTGATGAGAAGTGTGTAAATATTTGTATAAAAACAGAGAAGTTATTTTATGGAGGTGATGTAAGTTAAGTGCCTTTATTTTTTACTCCTGAATCTGTTTGTTTGTTTGTTTGTTTACACCTGACAAAGTTTATTAGATTTTCTTGATTGTAAAAAAAAACAAAAACTGATGGAATAAAATGTCTAAAGTGAACTGGTTGTTTCTGTGTGTCTCCACCAGAGGGCGCTGTTAGGAAACATGAATGACGTTTTGACACTGTCCGGCCTCCATGACTTTATGAGTCTACATGAATTTATTAAACAAGTTCAAAAGTATAAAACCAGCAACAACTTTCACTCACTTTACTTGAATTAAATAATGATAAAACATTGTCTATTGCAGAACAATAACCTCGTCCTCCAGACTAAATTACACAAGTCAAAATTAACACATTCATCTGAAGCTGCAACAGTCAAAGTAAAACTGTATTTAAAACAGACGTTGTGTTAGTGGAAACCAGACAGACTGTAACTGTGGAGGATCTGATCATCATGTGTTGAACTCAGACTGATGGAGCTGAAGTTTACTGTCTGTGAAGAGACTGAACCAGCGTCAGCAGGTGATTTCATTTTCATTTTCATGTTTATTTGATAGGGACAGATACATATACATAGAGAATTGCACAGTAATTAACCAATGCAATGTATCACAGCATTTATAGCTACTGCTAATTTCCAATGCCCGTCCCTAGAAGGGCCTTTAAAAAAAGAAAACATACAAAACAACATACACAACAACAACAAATACACATATTTACATACAGATACACATTCATATTGTTTACCTACCCTACCCTGGCTGACACAGGATGGTCGTCAGCTGACTGAGTTCACCTAGGACTCACAGGTTAAAGAAGCTGCTCCATGTGCTCCTGCAGCTGACATCCACCCATTACCTCCTCCAACACTGTCAACTCCTTCACCACCATCAGCACCTCCACCTCCATCACCATCACCTCCTCCTGCAGCACCTCCTCGAAAGCTTTCCCCAGTCAGTGCTGAGGAGTTACTCTGAGAGCTGCCAGTTAGTTCACACTGGAGGAAGATGAAATACAGCAAAGCCAGAGGTGGGAACAAGTCAGTGTTTTCCAAGTCACAAGTAAGTCTCAAGTCTTTGTGCTCAAGTCTCAAGTCAAGACAGACAAGTCCCAACTGAAGACTGTCAGGTCCCAAGTCAAGCCTTAAGTGAAGACTATCAAGCCCTAAGTCAAGTCCCAGGTGAAGACCATCAACTCTCGAGTCAAGTCCCAAGTCAAGACTAACAAGCATCAAGTAAAGTCCCGAGTCAGGATAGGCAAGTCTCAAGTGAAGACTGTCAAGCCCTAAGTCAAGTCCCAAGTGAAGACTGTCAAGTCCCAAGTGAAGATTGACAAGCCATAAGTCAAGTTCCAGGAGAAGACTGTCAGCTCTCGAGTCAAGTCCCAAGTCAAGACTAACAAGCATCAAGGCAAGTCCCAAGTCAAGACTGTCAAGTCCTAACTCAAGTACCAAGTCAAGACTGTCAAGTCCTAACTCAAGTACCAAGTCAAGACAGGCAAGTCCCAAGTCAAGACAGGCAAGTCCCAAGTCAAGTCTCATGTGAAAACGGTCAAGTCCCAAGTCAAGTACCAAGTCAAGACAGGGAAGTCCCAAGTCAAGTCCCAAGTCAAGACAGGCAAGTCCCAAGTGAAGACTGTAAAGTCCTAACTCAAGTCCCAAATGAAGACTGTCAAGTCCCAAATGAAGACTAACAAGACATAAGGCAAGAACCAAGTGAAAACAGGCAAGTCCCAAGTCAAGTCCCAAATCAAGACAGGCAAGTCCCAAGTGAAGACTGTAAAGTCCTAACTCAAGTCCCAAGTGAAGACTGTAAAGTCCTAACTCAAGTCCCAAGTGAAGACTGTCAAGTCCCAAATGAAGACTGTCAAGTCCTAAGGCAAATCCCAAGTTAAGACAGGCAAGTCCCAAGTCTAGTACCAAGTCAAGACAGGTAAGTCCCAAGTGAAGACTGTCAAGTCCCAAGTCAAGTCTCGTGTGAAAACGGTCAAATCCCAGGTCAAGTACCAAGTCAAGACAGACAAGTCCCAAGTCAAGTCCCAAATGAAGACTGTCAAGTCCCAAGTGAAGGCTGTCAAGCCATAAGTCAAGTTCCAGGTGAAGACTGTCAGCTCTCGAGTCAAGTCCCAAGTCAAGACTGTCAAGTCCTAACTCAAGTCCCAAGTCAAGACAGACAAATCCCAAGTCAAGTCTCATGTGAAAACGGTCAAGTCCCAAGTCAAGTACCAAGTCAAGACAGGGAAGTCCCATGTCAAGTCCCAAGTCAAGACAGACAAGTCCCAAGTCAAGACTGTCAAGTCCTAACTCAAGTCCCAACTGAAGACTGTCAAGTCCTAAGGCAAGATCCAAGTGGAAACAGGCAAGTCCCGTGTCAAGTCCCAACTCAAGACAAGCAAGTCACAAGTGAAGACTGTCAAGTCCTAACTCAAGTCCCAAGTGAAGACTGTCAAGTCCTAAGGCAAGTCCCACGTTAAGACAGGCAAGTCCCAAGTCTAGTATCAAGTCAAGACAGGTAAGTCCCAAGTCCTAAATGTTGAATTTCAAGTCCTAAACAAGTCATAATGCGCTCTTCATCAAATGTAATGCCAATATTAAATTAACAGAGATCACAAATGCATCATTTGCTGTAAAAAGTTTCTTAGCCGCTAAGCTAACGTTAGCTAAACATTAGCATGCTAACTATGTCAGTATCAGTCTCGACTTAAAGTTCTTTGTGCAACTTTAAATGTAGACTGAAGTTGTCTTTGTGACTCAAGTGTTGAGGTGTTAAATGAAGCCCAGAGTCTGGACTGACAGGCCTCATGTTTCAGGCCTGACAGGGTCATTTGCATGTAGAGGAACAAAGTTTGGTCCAGCTGAGTTCATGTTGTAAACTGACACTGGCAGAGTCGTATAACACCGAGAGCTGCTGGCGGGACCTCTGAGATTTATTAACATCACAAACTGCACCTTCACTCCTCCGACATGACTGATGCAGTAAATCTGCTTCATGTTCGTCTGAGCTGTTCTCGCTCTGACTGATGAATGAGAAAGTCAAAGTGACGTCAGCAGGTGGATGAGGAGGCTTCACAGGTCTGAACTTTCATTCATGTTGATGTAGATATTCTTTTACCTTGTCTTTGAATGCCTCCCTGAGCTAGTCAAGTGCAGTTACAGTTTACATCCATGTCTGTGAAAACATGAAACAACACATACATCTTTCTCCCATAGCAAAGAAGAAGGGGAACTTTATCTGTATGCAAAAGAGTAAATAGACCATTTTATACACTAACACACTAGAAAACAAGTCCTTTGAAGGGATAGTTTAGCATTTTAGGAAATATGTTCATGCTGGTTTCTGGTGATGATGAGACTCCATGATGTCACGCTTCTGTTAACTGATATGTTTTGTTTTTATTTATAATTAGAGTTATTAGTGTAAAAGCCGGCTGGACAATAAAGTCACTGTGTCTGTAGCTTTTTTGTTTTGAGACTGTCGACACTCAGCAGCAGTGACGAACACTTTCTGTTCAACATATAATTGTGCTGCATTAGTCATCTGTCTGTAAGAGGGGGTTGTGGGGGGTGGGGGGTCTTTAATACAATAGACTCACAGTGTGTTGACACCACACTCATCATCATCATCATGGTCATCCTCTTTATCAAAAATACAGTAGACGTTTGCTGCTTGGTTCTGATGGTTGTTGAGATACAAAGTTAACACCAACACCATCACTGTTGCCAAAATCTGAACCCGCTCCGACTCAACAGATATGAAAACATCTCTCAGTTTCACTGCAGACGAGTTCTGAATTATCAGCTCTCATAATCTGTGCACAAATATCTTCCCCATGACACACAGCTCTCGTGGTTTTTGTGTAGTGAAGAAGAAAAATAAAGAAGATGTTCAAATTAAAAGTGTCCAAAGTTCTAAATAATGAGGTAAACATATTTGACAGTATTCCCTGTGAGTAAAAACCTCAGGCTTCAGACCGTTCTGAGTACTCTGTTTCCAACGGGACAAGCTGATGTCAGCTGGTGATGGATTTCTCAGCCTGTTCTCAATCCATGTCATCAAATACTGCTGCTTTGTCAGTGACCTTGGCTTGGTTTGGTTCCATTCGTCTGAAGTTTATTTTGAAAATAAAAACTGTCTGCATTAATTGAACACAAACTGTACATTTCCTGTAAAAACAGAAGTTTATTTTGAAAAGTCACAACACATGTAACAAGTGTAAATTGACATGCAGTCTCTGAATATCCAAAACTGATGCAGGACAATATAGAGTAGGGTTGGGTCGGTTCTCGGTAATACCAATTCGGTTCCGTACTCCGTCTTGCACCGGGTTTTTTTTTTAGACCGACCTGACTGCATACTCGGGCGGAACGTACACAGAGCGGACGCCACAGAGGTCCACCCGGTAAAAGTGGACGTCTGCAAGCCCTGTGCGCGCAAAGCACGACCGCGTGGACTCTGCTCCGCGCACCAGTGTCACACAAAAGACTGTTCTGCATGTATTTTTCACATTGCGGGGATTTTTCACGGACATTTTTACACGGAGTCTGCTCCGCTTATAGTACACCCGAGTCTGTGGGCACCTGTGTCTGCCTCTTCACCAAGCGCACAGCAAGCAGGAGAGAGAGGGGGGTGGGGCAGGGACTGAGCTAGAGGATGCGAGTGCGCATGCACCGAGGCCTCTACTGTAGCCTGGAGTTTGTTTAATAGTGACGGGGAGTCGATAATGGCAGACAATTTAATCTCGACGAAATCAAAGAATGCGCCACTATGGCAACACTTTGGCTTTGAGCCAGACGAAGGAGGCAACCCTTGATTGCACTGATTGAGTAAGCTGCAAAATTTATTTGTAAGGAATAAAAGAAACAACTTGTTACTGTCACTCTGTTGTCCTACTATGGCAAGCCGTTTTAACATTTAATCACTAAATCCGGCTATCCAGAATTACCATTATAGATATCTATAACGTCATTTTGACTAGTAGTAATGTCATTGTGACTAGTATAAATTTTAATTTAAGATATCTGTACCGCCATTCTGACTAGTCAAAACTGAATTACAGATATCGGTAACGTCATTCTGACTAGTCAAAACTACAGTTACAGAAATTACCAATGTAGATATCTATAATGTCATTTTGACTAGTAGTAATGTCATTGTGACTAGTATGAATTTACCATTGTAGATATCTATAACGTCATTTTGACTAGTAGTAATGTCATTGTGACTAGTATGAATTTTAATTTAAGATATCTGTACCGCCATTCTGACTAGTCAAAACTGAATTACAGATATCGGTAACGTCATTCTGACTAGTCAAAACTACAGTTACAGA